AAAACGTCCGAGGATTCCTTGTGAAAGAGGACCTGTCCTCGAAAACTGGGACGCCTGATTCCCGGATCTGGTCACCCTAGGATTGACATTTCGTTACTGTGTCATCGGAGATTTAAAAGAAATGTAGGTAGGTGTACTTATATGAATGTCCCTCTCGATTTATGTACGTGCCTTTGCTGTCCTACATTTGAACTGAAATTCAAGAGGATTCCTGATCTTCAATAATTTCATATTGACTAAAATTCATCGCTTGCCGCTTTCTAACAATCATCATACGTATTTATGTCTTAACTGTTTAGTTTTACAACCAGGAGAACGGCGGTAAACCACCACTCGTTGGAATACAACTGGTAGTGCCGAAGCCGCCCAAAGATTATCGTTTCATGAAGTGGAACTGGCCATTGATACGGAAGACATGCTACTGGTCATTGATGTCGATCTTGACCGGATGTGCCGCTCTCGTTGTCGGCATTATCGCCACAATGCCTAAGAAGTATGTGTACGAATGTTATGTATGTTTATCTGTGTGAATAAGCTCGAGAGTGATAAAAGATTAAAAAGAACAATTGTAATTTCTGATTCAAAGGAATTGCCGATAATCTCAATATGAGAAAGTGGTTTATACGAATTAGATAGCAAAGTTAATTGAAGTATCTTTTCTGTAGACAACTGCGAGTATTTTACGTTGTCACTTTATGCAATTTGTACATCATACAATAAAAATTTCAATTTCAATTTTTCTCCTACAAATCACGAGTAAAATAATATTTTACCCAACTCAAATTTAATTTGCACATAGTATACTTGTATGTAAATGCAAAAATAAACGTTTTATCAGAAAGTATATAATGATCTTTGAGATAAATTATATATGTGTATACAGTTAAAATTTGTGATATTTGGTCACTTTCTCGTAAAATGTTAAATGTTAAATATTAACGCGCAAATATAGTAAACATTCAGCACAAAATTTTAAGAAAAATGAGTGGATATTTTTAACACAAACACACACAAAATGTTCTTCACTGCGCATACTCAGTGAGAAATGACAATGAAATCGACATCGAATTGATGAAAGCATAATTTCATATGAATTATTTGCATGTTAGATGCGACCCACCGATGGAATGGTGGCAAGGCAGCACTTTCTACGAAATATTCCCGGCGTCCTTTCAGGACTCGACGAAGGGCGCCGATGGGATCGGTGATTTGCGAGGAATAATTATGCGGCTAGATTACTTAAAGAATTTCGGAGTACAGGCCATACGACTCAACTCGATATTCCCGGCGCCGCATTACCCGGAATATTATTCGGACATTAGCAACATGACGGATGTGAACAAGGAGTTGGGCACACTGGGAGACTTTTCCGTTCTCATCCACGAGATCCACAAACGAAATATGAGTATTGTCCTCGATTTACCTCTATATCCGTTTGTGAAGAGCTCGAATGAAGCGAAGGCGAACGAGACTGAACATATACTTCGGAAGAGAAGAGATCTAACGAATAGCGCAATAACTCGAGACATACTGCCATCCGCACCGTCCACGGTCGCCGCCATCCGCGACGCCCTGTCGACACCGCTGCAGGAAGTGAAGAGACAAACGTTTCCCTCCGGTCACTCAGCTCGTCAGCAGGAGCATCCTGTTAGCGAGGCTATCAGAATCTGGCAGCAGCGAGGAGTGGATGGCTTCTATCTGAAGGGGCTGGAACATTACGTTGACGAAAATACGTTTGTGAGTGATCTTAGATACTGGAGGTCTCTTCTGCATCCGGGCAGTATCTTTATTTGTCACTTAAATGTCTTGGACGCTGCTACCTCTGCCGCAAGAAACTCCATTCTGTCCAAGATAGATCTGATTGACGTGACTCTTCGTCTGGCGAATGGCACAAAAAATATCAAAGCACAGATTGAGAGTATCACGAAGGGCGTGCTTTTCGACAAACCCTCTTATCCATGGATCCACTGGTCCGTAGGTGGTGTAGACACTAGCAGAGTGGCCTCCACTATGACCGTTAAGAATGCTAGTGTGGCAGCTTCTCTTCTCGGCATGATGCTACCTGGGACGCCGAGTATATTCTATGGAGATGAGGTACAAATTATATTATGAACGGGATCCACGAGCTTGGAGTACTTAGTCAACCAGATTTGCTTGAACTTTGCACTGCTGATGAATGTTGTCAACAGAAAGGTTACCCTAACGTAGAATCTGTTGTATTAATTATAAGATGTTGGCGACAGAATGTCATACAAACTACTAACAATTTTGACAGCAAATTGGCAGTAAAAATCGAGCAGATTTGCATCGATTTTGACGTAGATTAATAGCAGAAATTGAACAAAATCTGACAAGTTTGATAAGTTTTACTCGATTTTCTTCAGCAGAATATTTAATGCATAAGAATCTGCAGAATTTTTCTAATTAAATTTGCTAATACTTTGTGAATATAGTTTGCTTACTGGATATTTACATAATTCTCATGTTTAAAAAATATGCAATTATTTTTTTTTTTTCATTTCATGAGTGTCATCATTATTTTTTGCAATGCGAGATATTATTAGGATATTAATTCAGTGTTTTTTATAGTGAATATTTCTTTTTAAGATATTTATAAAATATTTAATACATGTGAAAAACAGTTATTATTAATCGGATTTTCATGTACCCAGATAGGTATCGAAGATTGTGAATGTCGAGATCATAAGGATTTGGCACATGTGCATAATTTGGTTCCTATGTATTGGGAGAAGGAAGAAGGCTCCGGTAGCACTTTTTCGCCTTCGGGAGTTACCGCTTGGCTACCCGAAGCTGGGAAACCTATGGAAACCAGTTTAAAAAGCACCGTTACAGAAATGGCGAAGCTAAGAACGGAAGCTACGCCGATTTACGTCAAAGCGGTGCTAAGAGAGAATCAAAGTACCGCGAATTGTGATGTTAGGTAAAGCTTTTTAATTTACGTGAGTTTCCGGATTTGTAATTTTCCTTGATATTTTTCCTTATAAATCTAAATGTCTTTAACGATTACTCATCTTTTTAAAAACTCAAAAAATTAATTTTATTTCTTTATTTTGCATGTGACTAAATACACGTTTTTGTCTTGCTACACTCAAAAAAGTATTTAATTTTAAAATATTTCATTCTTGTCTCTGTTTTTTAAACACTTATGTTCATTTACATCAATGTAGATTAACTTTAATCTTGGTTTAACTTACTGTTCATCTTTCTCTAATTTTTAGAATTAGGAAAAGACGAAGAACAAGCAAGTTGAATCGAGATTAAAGTTAATTTACCATTGATGAAAATGGGCATTAAAGATGTTTTAGTTTTAAATTTTTAATAAATAAAACACTATGTATTTGGATTTAAAAATTAAACACTTCTTTTTATAATATAGATAAAATAATTATTGCATTTTAAATTTTAAATTGTCGACAGATTGTCTTGTTACATGTAACAATGATGCAAAATATTATGTATATGATAACTTGATTTATCTTCTCTCATCTAGGTATGTGGAAGACGAAATGATCGTAATTGAGCGGTGGTATCCACGAAGAAATTCCTATGTGTTTGTGGCCAATTTCGGCAACAAAACGCGCATAAAGGATCTGTCATTTCTTTATTACGGTGGTTATGTTGTTGTTGGACCAAGTTACAGAATAAATCGGAATGTGTACTTCAAAAAACTTACCGTCCCTCCTGGAGAAGCGTTTGTTATAAAACTGGATAAGTAAGATAGTGTCTCGGTTGAAAAATAGGTTCTCTTATATTGTGAGATTATATTTTCATTTATTAAACATTATTAACAGTATGGATATCTCACAACGAAATAAAATTTTATTTTATGAAATTTCAGAAATAAAATATTTCTTGAATGATTAAAGATAAGAAATTTTTTGCGAATTGCTTTAGGAATGTGAAAATAAATAAAGATTTTTTAATTATTTTTTTATTAATTGAAAGATAAGACGAACCGTGTCCAAAATTAAAGAATCAAAAGAGAGTCCAATAAATTGTTCATTGTGACTAATACAATTAATAACATCTATCTTACAGCATTACAAATTATCATTATTTATGTATATTATATTAAAAAATTAGATTTTTACAACGAATTTCAATGCATATCGATCACAATATACTCATAAAATCGATCTAATGCGGTTGTGTTTGCAATTTTACAGTGTGCAGGTATTATTGTATTTATTATCGGTCTCTATATATAAAAACATTACAGAGGCTTTACATTTTTGTATTATACTTCCTTTGATAAATCAAAATCTATTGTGTATCATAATGTACCAAAATTCATCTTTGTTATGACGATCAAAATATGGTATAAAATCTCTCCGTAAGTAGAAAGGCTAATTAAAAAAATACTTTTTACGATATAATGGTTATAATAATAATCGTTTTGAGTACTTATACAATGTTGTCTAATTATGTTTGTCGTTGGCATCGAATTATACAATTATATATACGATTTTTAGATAATTATTATATATGTATATTAGAAATAGAAATGTATCGTATATATTAATTGACTGTATGAATGCAAAGAACTTATATATCAACAAAATTATCTCTATATATTTACACAGATAAATAAACAAAGTTCTGAATATATTGCTGTCTATATTGTATTAATTGTGTAATAAGTTTTTATACAATAAAAATGGATAGCAACAAACATAAAATTAAAAACACTTATTTGATTAAAAAAGCGAAAATGTATTGTTGATTATTTAATTTTCCTATGTAAGTACATAATTATATATAATTTCAGCTTATTACGCTTTATTTTAAATTTGTTCGATATATCGGGGGTCCAAAAAAGGCACAAATTTAAAAAGACGATAAAGATGGACATTAAAATATGAAAATACAAGAACAATTATTAAAAAATTATTTTGTTAATGTAAAATATTCATTTTGCATATTAATAGATTGTATAATGTAATAATGTAATAAGCTTGGGGGGGGGGGGGGGGGAACGAAATTTTTTGGAACATCCTTTTGGAACATGATCATATCGAAAATTATGATTATCTGGACGGCGATCTATCCTTTTTGTAAAAATTCTATAAAAAGTCACAACAAGTTGTTAATAATAAGGGAATAATTCAAATTCTTCATTAACATTTCTTATAGAAAATAATTAAACATTTAATTTTCTCTGGGGTGAAAAATCAAATAATTATAGATGCTTTATTATTTTATGATACGATTTTATTTTGTTAATTTTGACTACTGCTTACCTTCGTGGCTACATCAACAAGATTCTCGGTCATGGCAGTACCAGTCTGCTGTACCATATTATAGAAGTGTCCTTTTTGTCGTAAAAGGATATATGGATGGCCAAGTTCCTAAAATTAACGTCTATGATAGTTTTGTAAAGTACCTGTATCGAGGAAGAAATTCCGAAATCTAAACATTTTATAATTTGAAGCACTTGCTATATATTTTTTTGAGAAATAATAGGTAAGAATAACTATACAAATTGTAGCGCTAAACTTATTGGAATCGTGTTTTTTTTTTTTTAATTATTTAGCTAGCTATTAATTCGTACTTACCACAAGATGTCCAGCATCCATTACGAATATTCTATCACTGTCCATAATGGTATTCAATCTATGAGCTATGGTAAACACAGTACAGTTTATAAATTTTGTTCTAACTGTCTTTTGTATAAGGGAATCCGTGTAAGGATCTATGTTGGCAGTTGCTTCATCCAGTATCATAATCCGATTGTTTTTGATAATAGCACGCGCGAGGCACAGCAGTTGCTTCTGGCCGACGCTGAAGTTCGATCCCTCATCAGACACCTTTGTGTTCAATCCGGCAGCCATCTCGGAAATCGTTTCCTTCAGCTCGACGTCTTGGAGCGCTTGCCACAGTACGGCGTCCGAATACTGATCGAAAGGATCGAGATTCCGTCGCAGACTACCAGTGAACAGAAATGGCTCTTGAGGAATAATACTGATCTTCGAGCGGAAGTCGTGCAGGGCGATCACACCAGTGGATACATCGTCTATGAGGACCTCACCTTCCACGTAGGCCAACCGAAAGAGAGCGTTGATCACAGATGACTTTCCTGCGCCAGTTCTGCCGACGATACCGATCTTTTCTTCCGGCATGACAGTAAAGCTGATATTCTTGAGGATGCAAGCACCTCGAGGATTGTATTTTAAGTTTACGTTTTTAAACTTCACAAGACCCTTTGTAGGCCAATCGTCCGGCGGCTTAGCATCCGGTTTGCTGTCAATCATCGGCTCTTCCTCCAAATGGCTGTACTCGAGTATTCTCTCTATAGAGGTCAACTGACTCTCCAGCTCGGCCGTTTGTCTAATTCCCCACTGCAGCATGTTTGTCAATGCCATAGTTTGCGTGATTATCAGACCGATGTTACTAACAACAGCCAATCCGTCAAAAACAGTGAAAGCTATGATTATTGCTCCAATGTAAAGCTGGCAAATAACATCGATGTAGAAGCCGAATGCTCGAGAAGTGGACAGGAAGAGGAAGCAAGCGGACGTATGAACATCCTGATGAACGCATAGGTCAGATATTAATATTTCTTCAGCGCCAAAAGCTCTAATTGTCGTCAGACCTTGCAGAGATGCCCCAAGAAGATCGAAGATCGGCGAACGTGCTGAGCAAATTGTTCTTTATTATCGTATAATTTATTTTAAAAAATTAATGTTTATAAAAAGAGCTACAGCCACACGCTAGATTTGATTAGCGATGTTTATTGTAAAAACAATTACAAAAATTAAGTAAAAATATGATATTATGTCGAATTAATCGACATAATATCTATGTTTTAGATTTTAAGATTATATATTTTGCGCACTGCTAACAGCGTTGACTCTTAATAGCCTTTATGTTTTTACTTAATTTTTGTAATGGTTTTGAAACATATAAGAGTCTATAATTCAATTATATTATTAATTTATCAAAATTTTTTATTGTAAAACATTTGTATATAAATTATAAATTAGACTCTCCCAGGCGTCTAAGATAGGCTATTGTAGTGGAAGCGTACCTTAGACGCCTGGGAGAGTTATTCAATCGAGATTCTATATATACAGATATACGCGTATCAAAGCACTTACGAGAATTTGCGAATATCAGTAGACCTCTGATGGTGGGTCGACGTAATAATATTCTTCGCAATATTTATCGAAAAAGAGCTATGAATAGAAGAGAGAAGTTATGAAGGACAAGAGTCCTTTATACATAATTTTATTGTTATTATTTAAGATTGAAAAGGACTTCGTATAAGTCGAAACGTTTCATTTTTAATTTCTATACATACATCTGAATTATTGTTTAATTAAGGCCATATCACAATTTGAATATTTGAAAGCGTGTAAAATAGACAAAATTATTCCGCCACATATCAAGCATAACAATTTACGTAATTATTTATTAGATCTTGACAATGATTCATCGATTATAACTTTATAAACGGAAGACATTATAATTTGTATTCTCACAATTGCGAAAATAATTTATTCTTTTATTATTTTACTGAAGATGGCTTCATTTAGAGCTGAAACGTCTAATTTATAATTTATATACAAATGTTTTACAATAAACGTCGCTAATCAAATCTAGCGTGTGGCTGTAGCTCTTTTTATAAACATTAATTTTTTATATCTAAGCCACTTATAATATATATTAAAATTTATTTTAATTTTCGTTAAGTAATACAGCACAATTTATTCCAACAATATTGCAATAATTGCAATGCTGTAGCAATATTGTTGCAAGCTTCTGTGCTGTACAAACAAAAACAAAATCTGTGAAATCTAATTTGAAGAAAACAATTTTAATAAAATACTTAAATAAAATAATTAGTTTAGAGCATGCAAACGAATTTAGAAGAACGAGAATTTGAAAATAATTTCTCGCTGGTTACAAATATTGTTTTTTGTAAATGTCGCACGGTATGGATTATACTTACTTGTCCCTTCGAGACGCTTGATACTGCGACTAGTACTGATATATATCATTCGAAAATAGGTGAAAATGCAAGCGCAAAGCAAAGTGGGTATTGCCAGCCATGGGGTAACCGCTATGACCATAATTGCTACCGTGATCGAGATGAGTCCGATTATTATGATGTCGAATACGCACATTGACAGCAATAAGTCGACAATATTGATATCTCTAGCAAACCTAAAATAAAAAACGTTAATTTTTTTAGATTAAATCAAACTCAATTTATTTAAAAAAATCGTTAAAAATTAATAACAATAAATAAAAACCACTATAAATGATTATAATTAAATAAGAAAAATTTTAATAGTTATTAGGGTGCCGTCACGTGCGACGTGATTTGCGTAAGCGTACCTTACGTTAACCAATCAAATCGTCTTAACTGAAATAATGCGTAATACCTGATACAATTTGATTGATTCACGCAAATTATGCTTACGTAAGTTACGTCGCATGTGATGGCACCCTCAGAGAGCGTACTTATTGTTAGAGAAGAGAAGAAAAATTAGACGTACGCGTCTAGTTAGTTGCTGTGCTCTTCTACACTTACCTGTTTAATATACGGCCAGCTGGATTAGTACTGTAGAAATACATGGTTGCACGCAATATACTGCGAAACATGGCGGAGTGGAGATTTATCGAGGACCACATGCACACATTAAAGTACACGACTGTTTGGAATTGCCACAGTAGTATGATGGCCGCTATCATAGCGCTGTATATATAGATCATGGAATCGCGAGGCAATGGACCTTCCCACTGAAAGTCCAGGGTAGAATTGCCCATTTCATGCCACGAGCTCGATTCGACGTTTACCCAGAACGCGACGAAATAATCGCTACCGCCGGATACTACCTGGTTCGCTAAGAAGATTAACATCATCAATGTGATCATGATAGGACTCTTACTCGCCTTAAAGTAAGCGAAGAATATTTTGCGAGATATGCGACCCTTCGCCAGCGTTTCCTGCGTATCAATCGGCAAAATGTCCCCGTGATCCTTCGTTTCAGCCTTCATCGAAATTCGACGCTGCATCTCGGACTGTCTATGCTCAGTTTCTTTGTCCTTTGTGTCTGTCGCCTTCACCAGCTTCATAAAATCGTGGCCCAATGTTTGTAATTGGTCGAATGTACCTTTCTGCTCGATACTACCATTGTTCATCACAATAATCTGATCGGCGAGTTGCAAATACTGTAGCTGATGCGTCACCAGAATCCTTGTTTTCCCCTGGTAGGTAATTGTTGGACAAAATAATTAAAATTTGGAATTACAAGAAGCTATCCAAGAGATGTTCTAAGGCTAAGAGGATACCCTTAAGACAATAGTCTAATCACTTGGAGAACTGTGTTGTACAGAAATATGAATATTTTGCGGCTCTTACTTTTAAATAGCCAAAGATACACTTGTCTACAAGACGTCTGCTGACGTGCGTATCCACGGCGGAGAGAGGATCATCCAGCAGGTAGATATCGGCGTCTTTGTAAATCGCTCTTGCCAGGTTGATTCTAGCACGTTGACCACCGCTCAGATTTATCCCTCTCTCGCCCACGATGGTGAGATCGCCATGGGGAAATGAGTTTATGTCTGATTCCATCTGGCAGACTCCGATCACTTCGTCGTAACGCGTCTTATCCATCGTCTGACCGAACAGAACATTCTGCTTCACAGTGGATGCAAAAATCCACGGCTGCTGGCTGACGTAGTTTATTCTGCCACAGCATTCGATGCTTCCACTTGTCAGAGGTAATTCCTGAAGTATCGCTTGCAAGAGACTGCTCTTACCCGAACCCACCTGACCGACAATAGCGATGAAGCTTCCAGGTGGCACGCTTAAACTCACGTCACGCAACGTGTCTTCTTTTCCGTCGCCGTGCCATTTGGCGCTTACGTTAGTCATACAAATTGCGTACGAATCAATGACAGTTTGACATATGTTTTGTCTTGTTTTAGTGATCTCAGCGTGCAGCATGAATCTTCGTAGACGACGAATACAAACTAATGCCTGTACCAATTGATGAAGACCTATAAAACACAAGTTATATAAAATACATATATCCTTTTTTTGTAAATTATTTTTCTCGTTATAGATAGGAATATAACCCAATATAATAGTAATCTTCAACAAATACTGAATTTTGTTAATCTTTACAAGATTGTTAAAATTATTATTATCAAAATATATAGAAAGTAAATAATTTAATTTATATACCGAATTATATATATATGGCTTTATATCTTATCTTTATTAGGTAAAGCTATTATAAGTTATAATCTTTGCTAAAGATTATTTCTTCACCGTTTATAAAAATATTAAATCTTGAAATTTGCGTCAATTATCTTACCCATCGAAAATCCAAAAATTAACGAATTCCGTAAAACGTTGTAATATGCTGTTACCAAGTACACTTTTTCAGCATTGATGTAATTTCCGAATAGGACATATGCCAATACTGCAACGAAAATACTAAGTCGTGGTATATAGCAGTCAAGAGTAAGAGCTAATTGTTTCAAGATGGAGTATTTCTTTATTACATTCATTTCATGCCTGGAAATAATTAAATTTTGATAACAATTGATATCAATAAAAGTAAAGATACAAAACAAATCTTTAGTGAATTATATGGAAAAATATAATGCATAAAAATAATAATATTACAAATAATTAAAATGAACAATTCTAGATTATTCATAAGTTAATATCCGCTCGTATGATAATAAAACAAATTCTTAAATAGCATACCAGGTCAAGTTATTTATTTGAACGAGCTAATAATAGATACTAAAATTAATTTTAAATAATCTTTACTCAAATAAATGACTTGACTTGGTACGCTATTTAAGAATAATATTACATATAAATTAATATAAAAAAGAAAAAAGAGATAGGAGACAGATGTTTTTAGTTATACTTACTTTCTCGCCTTTTCCACGAGATTAGAAAAAGGAATCTCCCAAACATACATTTTAATTACTTGTAATCCAGTAATTACTTGATTCATCAGTCTAAGTCTATTGTCTGTCTTTTCTGCTAATTTGAGCGTTAAAGGTGCAATTATCTTCGCCAAGCACGCTGAAACGGTTTTGATATACTGTAATATTTTATCGAATACGTAATGTAATATTGTTACAGAGATGTATCAATTGTACGATTTTTATAATCATTTATTAACAGAAAAACGCCAACCTTGAAAAGGCATAAACAGTAAGAACACCGATATTCCTATCAATGCTGCCCAACCAATTTCAAAAAATGTAATGTATGTAATCCATATGATTTGAAGAGGAGCGATCCAAATGTAATGCAGATCTACCAGAGACGTTTCCAATCTAGTAATATCGCTACTCAGAAAATTTACCATCTAAAAATGTACAAACTGAATTAGTCTTTCAGCAAGCATTTATTGAAATGTTCTTTTGACTATGGCTTTATATGGGGTATAAATATTAGTATAATAAGAACAGTAGAAAAAGGCTCGACAATAATAAATAAATCATTAAATATTAGTAGTACATATAGTATCGTTTCCAAAATTATTTCAGTATAAAGAATTGCTTCATATTCTTCGATATCCCTATTCTTCTAATTTCTGCATTCTCTATCTAGTGCTCCCTTTACGTCACATTTGGGGTGTGGTCGAGTTGCCACTACGAATGCTTTGAAGCGTTTCTTGATTGGTCAATTTGTAAAATTCTTTCTTTTGATTGGTCAATCAAACGCTTCAAAGCATTCGTAGTGGCAACTCGACCGTGATCAGATATGTCCTGAGGAAGTAATATTTGACTTGTATCTGCAGGCTTACCTGTCCAACGGATGTTTCACTGTCTAACACAGAATTGGAGAGTTTTAATATTTTTTGATAAATCAAGGCGGTACAAGCCACTTTAATTTTCAATCCTATGTGAAAGGAGCAATGTACGCAATAATGAGTAATAAAAGTGTCCATGATGGACAGAAGAATTATACCGACTGCGCTATAATACACCTCGTTGTTCCATTCTTTCTTGTTGATCGCGAAATAGCGCAACAAAGTAGCAAGTAATAACGGTTGATACATTCTATAAAATAATTAAACATTATTAGAAGCAGTAACGTATATATAAAAATTATTTTATAAATAATAGACATTAATAACTTATTAACTTATAACTTTTGGCTGATCAGTTTTTCTTAAATTCACTCTGAATCATTTAAAAAAGGCAAAGTTGTTAAGTAAAGCCAAAGTTTAATTTTGAATGCATTATATACAATTTGTTTATCTTTATTTGCTTAACGTACCTAGAAAACAACTCCATAACTGCTTCTGCAATTCCAATTAGAAGAAGCGGTTTTCCGAAACAGCGCAATAGCACCCTAAGTAATTGTGGTTTGCTACCATTTTTCTTTTTAGCGCATAATTCCACTTCTCTTTCCCAAGCTTTGCCTATAATTTCGCCTAAGTTGTTGGTTCTGTCTTGTGTAAGAGTGGCGTAAAGATCGGATTCCTCCAAATCTTTTTTGTAACCAGTTCGAAAAATTTTTCGGGTCCACCTGTATGTATTAATTGTTAAACTCCTTAAATCCACGTATATTAGGTACTTAATTATTATCTTAACTCATGTAAACATATGAATATTTGCACGTATACACATACAAGTGCATACACATACTTCTGTGGAGAACCTTGAACGCGCATTAAAGTATCTTTTAAACGTAAAGCTTCAAATCATTTGCAATAAAAATATTTTTAATATTTATATTTCTTTATCATCACGCCGCATTAATATTATAACATAATATTTTAGAATAAATACATCTTTATAAGCAATTTATTTAAAATATTATATTTAAATGTAAACTTTCAATCGCAAACGTATTAAACTTTATTAAATAATCTATGTATATATACATTTACTTTTAATATAGATAACATTATAAGATATCACTTGTAATACTTACCAAAAAGTGAGAAGAGAAATTATATTTGTATTTTGCCGTGGATTTTTTGGATATTTTTGTCGATCGTTGCTTATCATGGTGACATATACAATTTTTATTCATCTTCAAATACTTTTCATTTTATTATATTTGTAAGCGTTTCAGTTACAGTATAATTATGTGATTCCATCAAAAAATCTATAATTAAAATTAAAGCCACGAAGTACTTATCATATATAATATATTAGCAAACATAAAATTTAAATTAAAAAAATAGTTCAGAAGGTATTTTTTATAAGTAATTTTAAAACTTTTTAAATATATTCTCTTTGTACTCACCAAATTAACTGTTAAGGACCTTTTCAAACTTCTCTTTAACCGTCTGAAAACAAGGCAGTCGAGTTTGTCTGACACTTTATCACACTCTCCCTGTGTGCTATATCATATTTCCTTGAATGAGAAAGATACATATTCTTATCGTGAGTAAAGTTGAACAGTATACATAATGCAAACAAATTTCCAAGAAAAAGAAGATATATTTAAAAGATATAATCAATTAGCTCATTCGAGTAATGCAACTCTAATGTGATTGCTGTGTACTTGGCGAAAGACGCTACTGTGTCTACTGAATCTCGTTATCCTGATGCTTAAACGGTTGTAAATTTACTGATAGCACAAATCTCTTTTTATCACTGTTTTCCAACGACACGTGTTTATGCTTTTGTTTAATATAAGAGCTAGTCGCTTTAAAACATTTTCAAATTTAACTACCTGTTTTATTGATATTTTGCATTTTTTGTTGTTTATTTTTATAGAAATATTTATCATTAATAATTAATTTTCTCGAATTTTAATAATTTATTTTATTTATTTATAGTATGTCATTAAGTGAAATAAGTCTATAGTTTAGTCTAAAATAAGTTTATTATTTACACACACATGTATAACATTAAAGTTTAGTATTAGCTAGTTGTGCACACTGAACACTATATTTCTGAAACATTTAGATGTTGTGCAATTTTCAATACGATACGATATACGAACGAGAGCGATATTTCCTTTATCTTTTTCTTGTATGTTCAGAAAGTAACATCTGGCAAATAGCTGCAGTGAAAGGAAACGATATTATTACATGTCGAAACAGCCAAGGAACTCCTGTAACACGAGAAATAAGAAATAAACGAGCTCGAAGAGAGCTGTAATTATGGCGTGTCTGCGATATTTTTGGTGAAATTCTTATACTTTTTGTATTTAATGTCGTATGCGAAGGAGGCAACGACAAAAAATATATGCGCGACTGGTTCATTAATCTTGCAAGAAAATTGATGTTATCCATTTATTTTGCATGATCAGCGTTCCTATGCATTTCTCATCATTGGATTAGGAAAGTTTACCTCGAAGCTAGTACGATGCATTTATTGTCAGTCTGCTGTATATCTTCGACTCGTGTCTAAATCCAAAGTCATGGAGGTATAAAAGTTAACAATGTGAAGAATATTTCATCATCTTTAAAAAAACAAACTGCAAATTCCCCTGAACGACGATATTTCTTTCATTTTCAGTCCGAAGATCTCACTCAAGCGTCAAAAATAATAATTTGGAACAAACGATTCATGTCTTTTCTAGGCTTATGGCCGCTCAAAACGAATCAGCCTTTATTCATATTTTTTACTACGTACATGATAATTTATTGTATCATGGGAATAGGTCATTTGATTAAGAATTTTGATCAGCCGGAACTCGTCGTGGCAAATTTAACAGATAACATATTGTTTGCAATGATATTGGGAAAGATGTTCATATGCAGACGCAGCTGCGAGACAATGATCAAGTTTCTGAAAAGCATCGAAATTGATTTCACGACAAAGATGTACGACAATGTTCAGGAGAAGATGGTGTATCTATATTATAACAAAATCGCACTGTTTTTTGTGAAAATGTCGACATTTTTGGCAGGATTAGCGGCCACGTTGTATTACTTTAGGACATTTTTCGAAAATTGGAGCGCGAGTAAGTACAACCATTGTACATTTTCATGCATAAAACTTAAAGCTATATTTCATGATAATGGCTTAAAAAGCATTATCTATTGTTCATTATCTATCGTATCCTCGAGTCATTATTTGCTATTCCAAAGTGGAATGTACCAGATAGACATGTGTTCCAACTCGATATTTTTAGACGCTACAATAATAAAAATTTAATTATTATTTGAAATCATTGAGTAATACAGTCGCTACTGTCGTTTATTTTACTAAAAATGTATTTTATGATACTCCAACTTTTATATTTTGAGAATATTCAAATATTTTAATTCTATCTCCTACGCTGTAAAGAGTGTAAAGTATAATACTATAAATTTGTAGAAAAAGATAGAGTTACTTGCAATTGGTTTCTTTTTGGGTCAGTCTGATCGATGATTACGCATATTCCAATTAGGCTATGGTTGGATAAATATAATAAAGACGATGGAAAATTAAATATAACGTGATGTATATAGTGATGTCCGGTAATTTTTCGTATAAATTACCGTATCCGGTTCATCCCTTCTTTGAGATCAAGGACACTTCTACGTACATATGCATTTGCGTCTATCTGGCGTTAGCTGTAGCGATTATAATATGCGGTTATGCTGGACCAGATGCTTTCGTACTCAGCATGGCTCTTCATATTTGCGGTCAGTTTGCCGTTTTATCATGCAAAGTCAATCATTTGTTAAAAGATCATGAGAATTATCACCGCAATATCAGTAACATCGTATTGAGGCATTATCACCTAATAAGGTGAATTTATATTTAATTCATTACATTTATATACAGGTATAATAATAAGATTTTTAACGTAATAATAATTTCAATCATAATATAATGCGTTTGCATATATAGGTATATTGCTCCTTATAGATTATGACAAGCTAACTATTAGTCTAATGTCAGGAATAACACAATGTTTTAACAATGCATCGCAATTCCAGATTAGCAGAGACCTTAGAAAACAATTTTAATATAATATGCCTGCAGCAAACTCTAGGCACTGTATTGTTGCTCTGTTTCACATTATATCATATGCTTGCGGTGAGTGAAAATTGAGATATTACTCATTTCACACTTTGCCTTCCCTGTATCTAAAAAAATGTTGATGCTAAATAAAATATTTTAGCTGCATTTTATAATTAGAAAGTGAATGTTAAATTTTTTAAAATTTGCTTTTTCTTTTAAGTTTATTGCAGTTTATCAATTAACTCCTCACATTATGGATCCTTGTGAAATGTATTTGTTTCTATGTGTATAGGTATGTTGTAGCTTATGTGATAAACAAAAAACGTAAATGGACAATTTCATTAATTATAATACAAAATCTCTTCAAAATTGGATATTTTAAATACACATGTGCACAACATTTTACATAAATTAATTAATGTTCATATTGATATCCAATGATATCGTATTTCAGACTTCGGGATATGGTGATAATACTACTGTTCTTGCTTTTGCATTATATATGTGTTGCGTATTTAGTACAATTCTTGCTTACTGCTATATAGGGGAGTGCCTTATCACTGAGGTAATTACAAAAAGTAGGATAATTAATTTATCTTGACATTTTAAAAATAGAGGTGATTAATTTATTTATACCTAAAATATCTACAAATGTCTGCAAATGTTATCTATTTTAATCTCATTAAAGAGTGTGCTATTTAACTAGCGAATATTAATTGTTTGAATTGCATATTAAAAATTTCAAGTTTATTTATATTAATTTATTTATATTAAATTATAATTATTTTCTAGAAAACAAATTAGACGAAGAGGTCCAATTTGGGACATACATCTTATAAGATGTTTAAAAGATGCGTCTTATAAGTCGTCTTATAATGTCCTGATTTATGGACCGCCTCGTGTTATTTGAATTGTTTTTGTGATGTATGTATTAATATTGTTTTATTCAGAGCACTGCATTACGTGAAGCATTTTACAATTCCGATTGGTACAATAATCCGCCATCAACATCAAAACTAATCAACATTTGTATGGTTCGATCTGAAAGACCATTAATGTTGACTGCTGGTAAATTCTGCGGATTATCATTGAATACTTTTACGAGTGTGAGTCAATGAATTATATATATTTAAATTATATATTTTTTGTTAATGCATGTGCTTCTTAGAGCATATTTTGTTTACAGATCGTGAAAACATCGATGGCGTATCTGTCTGTGTTACGCAAGTTCATGTAAAAGCATTTTAGTTTAAAACATTTTAAACAAAAATAATATTATGACTTAACAATGATAAAATTAGTAATGACAATAAGAAGGACCAAAAAATTAACTCGTAGTCTTTGTTATTGTCATTACTAATTTTATTAAAGTATTTTATTGAAATTTGTCTAAAACAAAAACACAAATAAGATTATATTAACAATTTAGATTATTATAATAATTTACATTAAATATAATTACATATTATAATTGATATTTACGATATTATAACTTATAAACTAATTATTAATGCCAATTATATATTCATGTATTGTTTTGATAATGCAATAAACAAATATATTCATTAAAGGTCACAATATTAATATTTGAAATTTATATGTAATATCTATTTACGTCACAAACTGACAATCATATTTGAAAGGATTAAGAGATCTATTTACATTTTGTACATTATAACAGGATTTTAATTAAAATAAAAAAGCAGTAAAAACAGTAATAATAAAAGAATTCAAATTATGAGAATAAATATCATATTTATTGATGCATCAGATGTAAGTATTTCTAAATGCACACATAAATCTGAATATGCAGATTTAACAAATTTTGATAAATTTCAATGAGAAAGATAATAATTAAATTTTCTTACCTCTTTGCACATACGCGCGACTTACAAAAATTTAAAAAAATTACACACACAGTTGTCTAATAAAATATTTCTAAATATATAACTAATAATAATATATACTGAAAATAGTTTATAAAATCTTGAATAATATTAAGTAAACATATATTTACATAAATATTTATTCAGTTATTAAATAAATATTTATGATATTAAAATTTAGTATTTTTTCGGTATAATAAATATTTCTTCTTTAAATGCACGTACTCCATTTGAACAGTACAGTATGCCAAGATACACTGAATAGAGTTATAGTGCAATCTGAATTTTTTTCTACGTTTGTAACTACTTAGCGAGTAGTGAGTTTTTCGTAAAAACTGATTTCTCCGTGCTACGCTAAGTTTTTCTCTTAGTTTTAGGCAGCAGATTTCAATTGCCAAACAAAAATAATTAGCAAATAGGTTTTCAACTACAGCCATCGGACACATGGCTGTTTTCATTGTATAGAGAGGTAAGATAATAGATGTATAATGAGAGGATAATGTACAAACTGAAGCAACTATTATGTCAACATTTTCGATTCATGTTTCAGTTGCGCTACAATGATTCATATATCATCGATCGATGATATCGATCGATTATAAGTATATCGCTGCAAACAATTTTTCTTTAGCTGTTTCAGTTTTAAATAAACATTGCGAGAAACTATAATGTTATTCAACTAATTTAATATAAAAGTAAGATGTATGTGTGTGTAATAACACATTTCAATTTTAGAATCAGTTTAAAAACGATTGTGTTTCAATTTTACACATCTGTTTTTGTTATTACACTTTTGGATAAATAATAATTAATTAGGAAATAGATTTCGTACACTTGACAGATGTAATTTTATTATGATAAAATTTACAATTTTCTAATTATTCTTGGTTAAATTTGGTATAGTATATTATATTACCATTTTTTTATTAACTAAAAATAAATTGGATAACTATTATTAAATATCATCATACACTTATCTAATGATTATAGAATGATATAATGCAACACTTTTAAGATCAAACATCAATTGCATTCAATTAGAATACTCGAAATGACACAAAAGCACAGAATAATCTTATCAAGTAGTATTTTGTGTATAGATATAAAAACGATTACATATTAAAAAGCAAAAGACAAGCATATATTAAAAAGTTTAATGACTATCTATATCATGTTTATTGCAAATGCTGCAGTTTTTTTACGATGTGCCAAATATAAAGAAATAGAAAACATATAAAAAAAAGAAAAATAAAAGAGCGGTATTGCTTTTTATTGTATGGAAGACTGTAAGATAATTAGTACGCCAAGAAAAATAAAAGCTAATAACAACTTAATAGCAGACTGATTGTTAAGCTGTTATGTTATCAAATGTACAGAATTTCAAAATAGTAAAATGACAAGATCGGTACTATACAAATGTTTAGATATTACATGTTTCGACTGTCAAGCGCATGGATTAACGTATATAAACGTATACACAAGTTTGGTTCGGAAAAAAACAAATTACAATCGCGGATGATCAGTTAATGAAGAACTACTCGATTTACTATGAGTGTAAGAAATTAATATTTTTTTGTAATAGATATTTCGTAGTAAAAAGAATTAAATAAAATGTTATGCATTTGATATTAATTACATTTTGTAACTTGTTTAACTGTATTATATTAATACATTTCTTTTAATATACGATTTAAAACTAACATTGTGTCAACAACATCTATTTAAGATATAATATTACAGAACAAAGACTACATTGAAGATTTATTTGTTTATTTGGAACGGATCTTTTCCGTAGGAGGAATATGGCCATCCGAACGATCGTACGTCCGTTTTGCAATTTATATCATGTATTACATTCATTATTTCATTATGGCATTTATCGAGTTTTACAACGTTTTTGGTAATTTGGAATTGATGCTGACGAGTCTCGTGGAAACGATAGTTCACGCTATGACATTTTCGATAGTGTGGCTAATACGTTGCAGTAATTTACTGAAGATCGTAATTGATGAAATAAAAAAGGATATAGCAGAACGCAAGTTTGAGAATTCTGAGGAAGAAATAATTTACTACAACTATAATCGCATATCTAAAATATTCACATACAGTTCGAACGTTGGCATGCTCATTACGTCCTTGTTACTTTATTTTAGACCGCTTATGTATCTCGTGATCACTAATCAAGGTATGTGATAATTATCAAACCTTTTTGTAGTAATTATTATAAATCTATTCTATTTATAATATAGAAAGTATATCTAAAATATAGAAAGATATTTAAATTACATTAAATTGCTTCATTATTTTAATATTGACTAATCTCTACATAATTATAGAAATGACATTGTACTCTGCAATCACATTGCATAATTATGGAAGAGACTTAGTATCTTAAATATTTTGCTTGAAATAAAATAGAATAAATAAATTTTTCTATTATTAATCTTTCTTTGTTCTTTAATCTTAATTTTTCCAGCATTACGTAACAGTACGAAATCACTTACGTTACCGTACAAAATCCATACATTTTTCGATACTACTAATCCTCGTACGTATACATTTATGTATCTGTATCTATTTCCAATGAATTACATAGGTATTTGTCATATGGCAGCGATATGCCTAGTGGTTATCTTGGTGTTTCATGTTTGTGGCGAATTAGCCATTTTGTCATATCGTATCAGGCATGTTGGAGAAAACTCGCAAATCATGTTAGTACACAGAATTCGTAACATTGTTCGAACGCATCTAAAGATAATATGGTAAGAAGAATATTATTATTAATAGTGTGTAATAGTATACATATAGTAGGTGTCTGCTTGATTTGCTTCTTTATTCCTTTCGTGTATTATGTTGTCGAAACATTATGATGACTGAAGGATGGCAAAATCCGTGGACAATACTTTTAATTTGATTCTTCTGGATGAACTCTTCGGTAATAGCGTTGTACTGGCCATCTCATTGTATTATGTCATGATGGTATGTTACATCATTAAATTGTAATTATTATGAAAGATCTAATTTAGCAATATCAATAAATGTTGATTGGTAGAAATTGTATAATAATATAAATTATTTATAACGTTTACTTGGCATTATAATTTTGGATTTTTCTTTGTTGTTAAATTTTATTAAAATTTCTATCTTAATGTGAGAAAGGTAATCACTTTCTTTGTTTCCTTCTCCCTGCCAACTACACAATAGCGTAAAGGAAAGCATTGAACTCTCCAGTACCTTCCCTCACTAATACGGTTTTCTTGCGTCAAAGGGACACATATACGGCAAATTTTTTGTTAAGAAAAAATATATTTAAAATTGTCCAGACAATTAATAAAATATCAATAAAAAAGATCAAGAGCATGCATATGCCACGCGCTAGATTTTGTTTGCGTAAATTAATATATATATATATATATATCGATTTAATTATATATATATATATATACATATATAGATATAAACGTTTCGGCCCTAAATTTGGCCATCTTCATAGTGTATAAATAATAAAATACCATAATTCGAATATTATTATATAATTAAAAGTTATAGAACATGCGACCTTATAAATAACCTTACATTTTTCAGAACTTGGATATTTCAGAAATACCAACCTGCTTCACTTTTATATTTTTCGCTATTACTGCGCTTGTTATGCTCTTCGGATATTGCTTAATTGGTGACCAACTAGCTCAACAGGTAACATTAAAAAGGAATAATAAACGTCTGACAGAAGAATGAACCCCTTTTGTCTTATGTTATTAATGACGAGAATTTTTATCACAATTTTTATATTGAATATTTATCATACAATTATTTCATGTTTAGTGTATAAGCGTGCAGAATGCGTACTATCAATGCAGTTGGTACCAAATGCCGCTCAATTTCAGGAAATGCCTGCTAATATGTATGATTCGTGGTCAAGTTATGTTCTATTTAACAGCCGGAAGATTTTATATATTTTCTTTAAATAGTTTTACAGATGTAAGTGCACTTATCGTAATTAGTAAAAGTAATAAAAATGCTATTTATCAGATAGATTTAATATTGAGTTGGCGAATAATTTTCCCCTATTTTTTAAAAGATGTCGTGATTAACATTAAATAATGTCACTAATAAATTTTTATTAGTACAATATATTTATTCACATTTATAGTAAATATTTTTGTAAAATACAACATTTCAACGCGTATTCAATGAAAAATTTGCTCAGATTGATTGAGTTTTAAGCATTTGGCATTATTTGAATGTGGATAACAAGAATAAATATTTTCTACATATCCTGCTTTATTTATGCTATTTACTGCTATTTTTAATTTGATATTTCTTTTCTATACTGTTTTATGAGTTAATTCAACATTTTTCTCTTTGTGGAAATAAAACAGAATAATGTACCAAAAATATTTACTTATTCTTCATGTTTAAAACTGTCAAAAAATACTTGAAGCTCTATCAATCAGTAAATTTAAAAATGCATTATATATCTATATATTCGGAAAAATATTTCAAATAGAACTTACCCTAATATCTTATGATAAATACACATTTTCCCTAGCTGGTATAAGTTTATATCTCTGGAATAAGTTCCACTCGAAACATTTTTTTCAAATAACGAATACTTAAGGAAATAATTGAATGGAAAGATTATAATGGTCCATTTTGTATATTAATACAGGTTATCAAAACTTCCTTGGCGTATTTATCGATGCTGCGCACCATTATGTTATGAAGAAACGTGAAAAAGATATTATTAAACAACATAATTCACAATATTGAACAATTTTGCATAGTAGATAGAGAAATACATTTAATAAATGCCCTAAACCTATATTTTGAGTTATAATATTTATATCTTGTATTATATATAAGTATATAAATTTCAAAAATCAAAATAAAAATACAAAAAAAAATTGTATAACTTATGGCTATTTTATTAGAAATTTAAATAATTTTTGTTTAAATTTGTAAGTAAAATTCATTTCTTTGTTCATGCTTTGATTTTATTTGTGTATATTCAAATATTTGTTAAACATTTAATAATTTAAAATGTACAGATCTTTTTATTGTTTATTATAACGGAAATGTTAGTATTTCGAAGTTGTGATTTGAATTACATTGCACAATTCATAAAACTGAATTTTTTGTACATGCAATCTAGAACAAATTGACAGCAATTTTTGTTTGTAATCGCACAAATCTGCATCGATAAAGAACAAATCATGTATACAATTTTACTGTGGAAAAAGTACATGTGTGTTCAGTAACACACTTATATGCAATTCATACGTTAATTTTGGACGCAGTTATTACCTGTCCTATAATCCACGTGCTTCTATCCTATATTCTATAGACAGCTCTATGCCCGAAAACAGAGATTACTTGGACTCTTACGTTCGTATATTTGGTACAGTTTCGGGCGAGCTCTCAAGGGAAGAACAACATAACACCCGATGCAGGTGATGAGTTGCGGTTTTTGATAATGTTATTAAACTTCACGAAAATTTATATATTACTACATCGTTTTAATTACAAATGATTAATTACAAACATTTTTTAATGCCGGTTTCAGCATCATAAAGATTTAGATCGTGCGGCCAAGATGTTGTCTTGGAACAAACCGCTCATGTCAACGCTAGGTCTTTGGCCTTTCCAATCCAACGATCTTATCTTTTCGATTAATTTTGGCTACTTCAGTTTTCTTATGATTCTGGAGTATCTGGACTTCTTTCTTTACATTGGTGATCTCGAACACGTGATCATGAATTTGACAGAGAACATGGCATTTTCACAGATACTTGTGCGAATGAGTACGCTACGATTATATAATGATAAAATTGGTGAGGTCATATCGGAAGCCATGAAAGATTTTGATGAGACAAATTATAAAACCGCCGAGGAGATTAAAACATTTGTCAGTTACTACGCTAAAGCAAAGATCTTTTTTAAGCTGTTGGTGGCGTTTGTCGCGATGACGGCTTCATCATATTATTTGACTCCGATTCTTGTTATTCTCGGAAATGGAGGTAAGTTACTTTTTCATATATAAATTGATCTCGAAATATTTAGAAGAATTATATAAAATATTTCAAACACAAATGAAATCTCATTAACCGGCAGTTCTGCATTTTTTATTATTTATTATGACTTAATTTTGTAGAACGAATTTTTATGATTTGTGTGATAAGTATCTTCTTAATTGTTATCTTTAAGTTTTCAAAATCTAAGTATTTTTTTAAGTCTAAAAAAAGTGCTAAAAATAGATCAAATATGATTTTTTTAATGCAAGTGTTAATGTCACAATTGAACGTTTTCTCAGGACTACCTGAAATAGTGACCAATGAAAACGTGACTCAAATAATTTACCTATTACCTTATCGTTTTCATCTATTTTACGCGGTTGAAAATTTACGTACGTACACGATTACATACATCTGGCAATTGCCATTTGTCTTCATCAGTGCTTTTGGACAAACTACAGCTGACTGTATTATGGTTACTCTCGTCTTTCACATTTGCGGTCAGATGTCGGTTCTTGCTTTACGCATTAACAATATAAATACCGAAGTCCGTGATTGCGGGCCTGAGATGCGACATGTGATACTCATGCATGTACGATTGTTACGGTTAAGTATATGACGCTGAAATTTCAGTTAAAAGCTTGTGTTATTAAAAGCATTCTTTTCATTTTAGATTTTTATTAAAACTAACAGAAATTAAATTTTTTTTGCTTTTTGCTTAAAATAAAGGTTAAATAATTTCTTTTGTTAGTTATTAATTTCTTCCTTTTTTCCATTTCTTTACTTACAAAGGAACACAACTAAGTGTCCTCTGATTTTAATAAGCTTACTATATGGGAAAATTGTATTTAATAAGATATGAGTCATTTATTTTCGTTCATATTTTAACATATTAGAAATTCATTGTACATATAATCGAAAAGGATATTCGGTTGTATTTTCTTGTTTGAGCTATTATTTACCTTAATAATTGAAATTTGGTATAAACTTCTGTTATATATTAGAAACTTTTATTTAAATAAATTTTATTTATATATATATATATATATAAAACTTGAACTCTTTCAGAATGGGAAAGATAATAGGAAAAGCATTTAGCGCAACATTGCTGGCACATCTTTTAGGAGCTACATCTCTCGTTTGCATCCTTGGTTATCAAATTTTAACGGTAAGTCAATACGTAATGATAATCACATAAACATTTGATACATTTACCTATTTAAAAACGATTGCAAAAGAAAATAACATAAATTTTTATCTTTATACATGTACATATGGATACATATGTATATATGTAAAAATAAATTTACATCTCAAAAATTTAATTAGAATAATAATATATAATAATATTATGCAAAAAGAATCAATTTGTAATATTAATAATATTGTTCCTAGTAAAATAATATATTTAAAATTTTTACATATATATATATATTTATTTATATTTAGCATTAAAGGCTCTAACTTCACATAAAAAGTGATTTAAAAAATATAAAAATCATTAAGTATTTTTAAAATTATTTTGTCAATTACAATTTATTATTAATTAATTATTTTAATTTTCAATTTCATGTGATTAGAATTTTAGTAAGGGTGAAGCAGGAGTACTTATTCCACTTTTAATATTCCAATTCTTAGTTCTGCTAATACTTTATGCTAATTGTACTATTGGCGAGAACCTTTTGACAGAGGTAATATTTTATGGAAACATAAAACGAAAATTATAATACAAATAGCTACATATAATATACGTATACATAATAAAATTTGTGTTTAATATCTATATATAATAAATGCACGACATTTTATTGTTTTTTCGTAGTGTAAATAATCTTTTCACAGAGTGCTAAAGTATGTGAAGCGTTTTATAATTGCCGTTGGTATGATATGTCAAAGAATAATGCGCGAATGCTAATACTATGCATGGCAAGATCGCAAAAACCGCTCTGCCTGATAGCTGGAAAATTCACAATGTTTTGCCTCAGCACTTTAACTGACGTAAGCTGATGATTTGCATGCATTAACAAAATTTTTTTAATAAAAAGATTTGCTTATCTTGGACATTTGAAACATTATTGCTATGTTAATATAAGAGTACAAAAACATTATTCAGAAATAAGTTGTTTCAACAGGTTTTAAAAACATCCATGGGATATTTATCAGTATTACGTTCTTTTTTATAAAGTTATTGAAGAGCAATAATTTTTGGAAGCAAATATAATTTATAAATTGAACATGTTTAAATAGAGATAAGTGTATAATTTATAATAAAGAGTGAGAAAAGAAAAAGAAGCATTATTGTTACTCAAAAACTGTAAATTATTTTTATATAATATGTATTATGTAAAAAGTATATATTTATTTTGAAACAAATTTTATACATACAAATACGTTTATATTCGGAATATTGTTTGCTGTTATAAGTAAATAATATTAAATACATTACACAAAAAAAAATTAATAAACTTCAATTGTTTTATATGTATATATTATAGTTTTAAAAAGATCGCTCAAATTAATATCTTTTTATATAATTTCATGTCTAATATATTTTTGCTATTATTATTACATATCTTAGCTAAATGCGTTTAGAGATTATCATCCAAAATGATTTGTAATCAAGAAACTTCATTAATAAGTCGATCATAATTATCAAGTTATTTGAAGTAAAACAATAAAAAAATGTTAATAATTGATTAGGTAAAACTCGACAATTAATAAAAAAAATTGTAAAATTGCAAAAATTTTCTTGTTTATCACAATAAGAATATTTTGCTGCACCGTGCTACTCTAACCTTTAAGTACTCTACAGATGCACTTGTCGACGAGACGTCTGCTGACGTGCGGATCCACGAAGAGGGGATCATCTAGTACGTTAGTATCGGTATCTTTATAGATCGCTTGCGTTAAGTTGATTTTAGCAAGCTGGCCATCGCACAAATTTATCTCTCTTTCATCCCCACAATCGTAATGAAGATACAAAGTCTATATCCGACTCATTTATATAATATTCATTTGGCAGACTCTGATCACTTCGTCGCAATGTGATTTATTCGTCACTTGCTCAAACCGAAATATTTTGCTTCACTGAAGATGTAAGGGGGAACAAAGCTTTCAAAAGAAAAACTTTCCTACAAGTATACTCACACATCGAAGATACATATTTTGCAAATATCGATGACCAACGATTATCAATACTTTCTCAATACCTTTTTTTGTGTCTAAGACAGTTAATTTTTTCGTATTAAGTGACTCGAATTTTTATATTTACAATAAATAAGCTTTAACTTGTTATATTATAATAAGTAATATTACATCATAGAAATTTATAAATGCCGAAATGTGATGTAGTATCACTATTTCTGAAAACATTTTATTTATTGACTTTATAAATCAATTTTTCATAAATATTCAATTTTTAAGAAGATTTAAACTCACTGAGCGTTACGTTTTATTTTACCATGTAGTTTATAATGGTATACAGTTACTGTTTCTTCGGTAACATTAGTTAATACGACGAATTTGCGCAGCACGCGAAGACGATTATACTAATAATATTATTAAGAATTTATTAGGAACATTAAAAAGTTTAACGATTCTTTATATCATTATATCATATTTAATAAAATCGTTGCAATTTTTCTACATTGTACCGAATACAAAGAAATAGAAGCTTAGATTCACCAAAGGTGAATCACGAAACGATTTTCATGAGACGGTAAGATAATTAGTACGCTACAAAAGTGCTGGCTAATAACAACTTGATATCAGATCGACTATTATAATATATTATGCATATAGAATCTGAAATAATGAAATAATAAGCATTAGACACAAATATCTAATTAAAGAGTACAATTAACAATATTGAACAGTTTTGCATAGTAGAAATACATTTAATAAATGTGTTGAATCTATGTTTTGAGTTATAATATTTATATCTCGTAATTTATATATCAATTTCAAAAATTGAAATGGAGATACAAAACAAAAATAATTCTATAACTTATGGCTATTTTGTTAGAAATTTTAATAAATTTTGTTCAAATTTGTAAATAAATTGCATTTTCTTGTTCATATCATGAAATTATTTTGTGTATATTAAAATACCTGTTAAACATAATCTAAAATGTACAGATTATTTTATTTTTTATTATATTATGATGATAATATTAGTATTTCAAAGTTACGGTTAAAGTTACACTGTATAATATTTAAAAAAAAGCTGAATTTTTTGTTCACGCAGTTTAGAACAAATTAAGAGCAATTTTTGTTTGTAATTGCACAAATCTACATCGATGAAAAACAAATCATGTACAATTTTACTTTGGAAAAAGTACAGGTGTGTTCAATAACACATTTATATGCAATTCATACGTTAATTTTGGACGCAGTTATTACCTGTCCTATAATCCACGCTTCTATCGCAGATTCTATAGACAGCTCTATGCCCGAAAACAGAGATTACTTGGACTCTTACGTTCGTATATTCGATACAGTTTCGTGCGAGCTCTCAAGGAAACAACAACGTAACACGCGATGCGGGTAATCAGTTGTGGATTTTTGATAATGTTACAAAACTCTATGAAGAATTATACATTATTACAATGTTTAAAGATTAATTACAAAATTTTTTAAATATATTTTTCAGGATCAAAGAGACTTAGATCTTGCGGTCAAGGTGTTATCTTGGAACAAATGGCTGATGTCGACGCTAGGTCTTTGGCCTCTCCAATCTAACGATCTTATCTTCTCGATTAGTTTTGGCTACTTCAGTCTACTCATGATTCTGGAGTATCTGGACTTCTTTCTTTGCATTGGTGATCTCGAACGGGTGATCATGAATTTGACAGAGAACATGGGATTTTCACAAATATTTGTGCGAATGAGTATGCTATGGTTATATAACGATGAAATTGGTGAGGTCATAACGGAGGCCATAAAGGATTTTGATGAGATAAATTATAAAACCGCTGAGGAGATTAAAGCATTCGTTAATTACTACGCTAAATCGATGATCTTTTTTAAGCTGATGATGGGATTTGTTGCGATAACAGCTTCATTATACTATTTCACTCCGGTTCTTGTTATTCTTGAAAATGGAGGTAAGTTGCTTTTTTATATAACTTAATCCTGACGTATTTAGAAGAATTATGTGAAATACGTGAACCAAATAAAATCTCATTAACCGGCAGATCTGCATTTTTATTACAGAATTTATTTTACAGAACAAGTTTTCATGTTTTATGATGAATATTTTTTTTCTTTATTTTTAAGTTTTCAAAATTTTCTTGAGTCTGAAAAAACGAGCCACAAGTTGAAGTTTTATTAAATATGATTTTATTTAATGCAAGTGTTAACGTCACAGTTGAACGTTTTCTCAGGACTACCTGAAATAGTGACCAATGAAAACGTGACTCAAATAATTTACCTGTTGCCTTATCGCTTTCATCTATTCTACGCGATTGAGAATATACGTACATACACAATTACATACATTTGGCAATTGCCGTTTGTCTTCATCAGTGCTTTTGGACAAAGTACAGCTGACTGTATTATGGTTACTCTCGTCTTTCACATTTGCGGTCAGATGTCGGTTCTTGCTTTGCGCATTAACAATATAGATACCGAAGTCCGTGATTGCGGTCCTGAGATGCGACATGTGATATTCATGCATGTACGATTATTACGGTGAGCTCATGGATATGACGTGGAAGTTTTAGTTAAGAGCTTGTGTTGTTAAAAGCTCTCCTCTAATTTTACATTTTAATTAAAATTAAAAAGAATTAATGCTTTTCACTTCTTGCCTAAAAAATAAAGATTTTTATTACATAAATTCTTGATTTTTTCTGATTCTTTACTAATTACTTAGGGAAGTACAACTATAATAATTACCCTTCTCTGATTTTGGTAAGATTAGTATATATAAAAAAAACTGTACATAATAAGAGAGTCTATTATTTTTAATAAAACAATATAGTTTATAGGCTCATATGATTAAATCAATATACTAAGAAATAATAGCCAATTAAGAGCCAACACAAGAACGTCGTGTGTAAAATTTTTAATTCAATAAATACGAAGTAATTATAAACGTTTCGACCCTATATTCGGGTCCTTATCAATATATAAATAAAGATATTAATATAATAAAATCGCAAGCATAAGATGTTGTTCAAACTATCAATTCCTGTTCATCTAAGTGAAAGCTTAATTGTAAAAAATTTTTTAAAAAAAGGGATGTTTATATGAAGTTAAAATAGTCTAACATTTTAAAATTAAAAGACTCACATGATTGTCAACATCCCTTTTTTTAAAAAATTTTTTACAGTTAAGCTTTCACTTAGATGAACAGGAATTGATAGTTTGAACAACATCTTATGCTTGCGATTTTATTATATTAATATCTTTATTTATATATTGATAAGGACCCGAATATAGGGTCGAAACGTTTATAATTACTTTGTATTTATTGAATTAAAAATTTTACACACGACGTTCTTGTGTTGGCTCTTAATTGGCTATTATTTCTTAGTATATTGAT